GATTTACCGATTCAATGACCAAAAATTACTTTTTAAAAATCTAAAATTACATTTAAATCTTCCTGAAACTAACTTCTTTAGGATGTTAATTTACTGCTGAAGAATAATTACTGAACTTTTCTTCAACATTTAAAACCTTCAGGTTATTTTTGTGTAAAAACTCAAATTAAAATCATATTTTTGATCATTAAATGATTAAATCAGAGCTAACGGGTCGTAACTCTTCATGTAAATGGATTCATTAGCACCAAYGTTAAAGAAGAAAAACCTGCTGATGATGTTTTCTTACTGTCAAAAACACGTTTTTACGATTATGGTTGATTTGTTATTTTTAAAAAATGATTTTATTTAGTTTARGAATTTTTAGAAAGCTTTATTTTAACTGGAACTACTTTTACCGGCGGATTTATCCACATTAGCTGTATTTCGTGTTGACAGTAAGAAAGTTTCGATCAGAACCAGACTTTGAGAGAAAAGTTCTTTTTCAGCACTTTTACACGACGGGACGGGAGGTCCAAACGTCAGAGCGAAGGGTGAGCGGGTCAGTTCTTTGTGGTTATCAGGGTCTGGTAAAGCGGTTTGACCACCACGTGCAGAAAGAGCGATCCGTCCACGAGGTACTCGGACGTCCGGCGGTGCAGGCTGGCCTCGGACAGGAAGTCGCCGTTCTCCTCGGTGCTCTGGTGAAAGTTGTAGACGTGCTTGACGAGCAGCCGGCCCTGCTGCTGGGCCAGCACCAGCACCGTCTTCTGGAAGTTGACGCCGGCGAAGTCGGCGCTGGAGGTGGCCGGGGTGATGATGATCCGGGGGCGGCCGCCTTCRACGCGCGTGGGCTGCATGGCGCCCGTCTCCGTGTACATGGGCCTCATGCTGAGGGGCAACCAGCGTGGCGAGAACAGGGCGTTCCACGTCACCCTCCTGCTGGCGTCGTGGCCGCTCGGACCCAGCTGGGTCTGGAAGCTGGTGCTGCGGTCGTCCCGGGTCGGGTTGTTGATGATCCACTGAGACCCCCACGCCGCGGACAGGTAGTTCCTGGGCACGAAGAGGCTGCAGTTCACRTCGAAGTATTTGGCCATCTGCAGCGGCGACGCTGAGTGGAACTGGTAGGACATGTAGAGCAGGTCGCGCACCGACTCCTGGTACCGGGCCAGGACTGAGGACTGGGTCTGCAGGCGGAACAGCTCCCGCGGGGGCATCATGGCGTAACGCACGGCCCTCAGAGCGTTCTCCGCCGTCAAACCGTCCGGCTGGTTCTGGATGATCCAGGCCTCCAGCGCCGTGAAGAGCTCCACCTCGCTGTGCAGGACCAGGTCGGAGCGCTGCAGCAGCGTCATGAGCAGCTGGCTGCTGATGCCGGCCCACTCCCCRCTCTGCAGGACCGACGACAGGTTCCAGGCCAGGTACTGCAGGCAGCTGTCCCTCAGGGTGACGTCCCCCGCCTGCAGGGCGTACTCGTACCAGCCTGCCACCTGACCCGACGGCGAATCCCGGGCCAGGTTCTGGGTCATGTAGTGGGTGACGCCCTGCTGAAGACTCGGGACCTGGTACTTTGTGGCCAGTTTGTGCAGAGGTGTGGCTTGGTCCAAACGGAGAGAAATCTCTCCACAGTACAGATACCTGCAAAGACAAACCAGATATTGTTTATGTTGAGTGCAGACCCGCTTTACTGACTTACACAACAGTGTATCTGGAAAACAGCCAGGGGATTCTGATGTTATCAGTCCATGAAATGGACGTTATTGGACGTTATCAGTCCCACATAATGGCTTCAGAGGGTCCCTACTGTGCCTTCTAGGCTTCGGTCTGTCCCGACAGTGCCCCCTAGTGGGTTAATATATCAATGACAATGAATGTGTAAATAACCAAAACATATTGTAATAAWTTTTTTGTGTCCRTGTCKGWCTCGAACCCTGGTCTCCCACTCGACACTCTACCCATTGCCCTATTGAGAGGCCACAATATGCATCCGTCGGAGGTTAGCGCTAACCATGTCATTTGCTCTAAAGTTAACCTTAGTGGATTTAAGCCTCATATTAACCAGCTGACAATCAGAAGCCATTCTTTGGGACGGGAAACCTGCTAACCGGCACAGGTGGGACATTCTGAAGCCATTCTAGGGGACTGATAAYGCCTAATAACRTCCATTTCATGRATGATAACATCCGAAGCGGGTGAAACAGTTGAAGTAAACTGCTTCGTTGTAGTCCAGGATAACTTTTGATATAATTCGGATATGTTTATTTTATGGTTGGAAATGAGTAGCACTGTGTGTTAGCTTGACTCCTCAATAAATATTACCTTAATTCCTGAAACTGGTGTTGAGCTCACCGATGTGTGCTGCAGGTAAGATACTGACCGCACATAATGACCTCCTTTTTACCAAGAACAGAACGATGCCTTTAAAGAGGACACGTCCTGCAAAATCCACTTTTTTATCCATTAAATACATTTTGTTGTGGACTTGGAGTCTCTAGGATGCAGATAAGTTTAAATTAGTCTCTCTGGTGCTGCGTRGATAWCTTTATATTCTGTTTGGCTCWTATTTATCTATGACATGTTCTGAACTAACAAGTCACAGTGTGTGCAAAGAAACATGTAAGGTCTGARCTTACCAACTATAGTTTCACTCCGGGTCAGACTTTTTATATCAAAAATAAATTTGTCGTTGCATCTAAGTGCTTAGAAATTGGCCTCAGTCTCTTTAAGAACATCCTACTGTTTCTGACACTCCCACTTCAGCACATTTTCACAACGATGCTTCGGGGAGGGATGCTCTGTGGGGCAGGGGCTTGGCTGCGGACTGAGGTCCAGGGGAGGAGGTTTGTGTGAATAGGCGGAGCTTTGTACCAACAAACATTTGGGCATCTCCACAGGGCTACTCAAGGATTTCTCAAACATGCATGAAGGAGTCAAAGCAACGCTCTGGGTGTGTTTGATGAGGGGACGATGATTTTTCTGAGTACAAAGCACAAAAAAGTGAATTTTGCGTAATACCTCCTCTTCATCAATTTGTAAATAAAATGTTTCTGTGCCTCTATACAGTCGTGAACCCCTCTATCAAACTGGAATGGACCAGTCTGGAAGCTGGGGGTGGGGTGGGGGCTTGTTTAGATTTAAAGATACAGCCTCAAAACAAGTTGCTCTGAGACACATCTCAGACAAGGGGTGAAAGAGGGGCTTGTGGAGTTACAATAAGGAGTTCCACTTTATATGAACCCCAACTGAAGGATTTCCATGTGAAAAAGAAGGTTTTAAAAGCATCATATGTCTCCTTTAAAGCTTTATAAATACTGATTTTTTTTTAATTTCTCAGATCTTTAACATGATTCTGACTTGAGACAAATAACTGAAACAAGAAATTGGACCAAAAAAACCTCATCACTGAGGGAAAATACTTGATTAGTTACTGATTAGATGATTTGTTTTACTTAAGTCAAAAGTCAGGTTTGAGTTTTAAAGTGCCCGTGACCTGCATATTCTTCAAATACAAAAAGTCAAAGAAAACATCTTTATATTAAAGAAAGTTGGAATAATACACACGATTTAACCCATTATGTCCCAAAACTAGTATATTTTCTTTTGAACTTGGCTCAGCCAAAGTGAAACAGGAAGTGACATCAAAGGGGAACTCTTTAACAAAGAAAACTCTCTGGTCTTTGTTAAATGAAACAATCTCTTCATCATCTCTCTGATAGTGACTCAAAATAATCTTCAGAATCATCAGATTCTTCTCTACAGTCTGGGTTGTTGGCTGTTGTAGCAACGCTCTGTTCACATTCAGACATTCCCCTTTGACATCACTTCCTGTTACTTTACAGGCAAAAATCTCAACAACTGTTCATCTCAGCGACATGAAATTTCTTTTGCAATATTTTATCAATGTCCTCTTTCTAAAAATACCTTCATACGTCTTACAAAAATTTGACATCACAGGCACTTTAAAGGACCTCAGTAACACAGGTGATAGAAATGGATATTTCTATCCTTCATAAAATATAAATGTATTTGCATATGTGTTTGTGTACATGTGTATATGTGCATTGTTATATGTACATTATTATATATCACAAGTGTATAGTGTGTTTTGTTATTTTTTATTCTTCTCACCCTCTCCTGTACTGAGCTGCAGTAATGTGCAAATTTCCCCACTGTGGAATCAATAAAGTCTTATCTCATCTTATCTTTTCTTATCTTATCTTATCTTATCTTATCTTATCTTATCTTATCTTATCTTATCTTATCTTATCTCATCTTATCTTATCTTATCTTATCTTATCTTATCTCATCTTATCTTATCTCATCTTATCTTATCTTATCTTATCTTATCTTATCTCATCTTATCGATGGCAGCAGCAGCTCCAGCTGCACCACAGGAGCTGTTTGCTGGTGTTCATTGATCCTCCCTGCCTCAGGTGCACGGCTCATCCCTGTAGGGGGCGCTCTGATGCTCCTCACCTGATGAACCTGTCGAACACAGCGGCGCAGTCGGAGCTCTCCCTCAGCACCACCGTGCTGCTGTTCCTGCCCTGCAGCAGCTCCTGGAACACGGGGCTCTGCAGGGACAGCACCAGGGCGTGGGCCTGGATCACCTTCACCTCGTCAGCGTTGGGGGTCTCCACGCGCAGCGACACGTCACTCCCGTTCCCCTGGACCAGCAGGGCCTCCAGGCGCTGCACCAGGGTCAGGGGGTGGCTGATGGTGTCCCCCCCGCTGCTGMCCCCGTCCGGGGAGACGTCGACCTTCAACAGGCCTGCTTCAGATGGGGAACAAGAGCAGGAAGTGGTGAAGTTGGAGCGTGTCACCTTCAGGGGTGGAGCCAGGGGGTGGCCAGGGGTGGCCACCACTGACAAATCTTTGGCCACCCCGTTGGCCACCCTGCTGTACACAACMCTTCCAKAGTAAAACAACAKTTARKGGTGTAATAATCCTCCTGAACAGTTGGTGGCAGTGTTTAACAGTTTGAAACATCACCAAGCTCTATCACTGAAGAAGGGTAATGACAAGGAAATGATAATTTTCTTTACATACAGAACATATGACTATATAATCTGATTTATGGTGTCAACTTTTGGACTTATGGTGACAAATGTTTTGTTTTGTTTTGTTTTTTGTCACCATAAAAGTGTCATTTTATGTTATGAAGGCTGAATGATGCTYTGTKTTTGGTTATGAGTAGACCTATCACTAAATCAGAAAAAGTGAAACAACCCTCTAAATTCACTGTTGGTGGTTATCAATATTGCACCTGTTCATTGGGTAAAGTTATTAATGTTAGTTTTAAACGTGCAGTTGAGGGTCATCCTTATTTGGCACAAAGACGTGTTACAATTAAAAATGAATCATTAAACGTAAAGGTAAAAAGCACTCCTATAGTCATTAGATATGATAAACTGTGTGACTTTAACTAACCTTATCTCAGTTACAGCAGTGACTGTGGAACTAGTTTAATGAATAATTTGTCCCTGAAATAATTATTAAATCAAGTGTTTATTTATGTAGGTAAAAGTATGTTTAACAACCTGGTAAAATAAACCAGAATGCAGGAAATCGCATCTATTTCATTCAAAATTTTCTGGAGGAGGACCCCCAGACCCACCAACAGTGTGTCCCCCCACTTTTAAAATGGTTCTGACGCCCATGTTTATAAGGTAATCACTGCCTGTATACGGACATAAGGAAATGAGGAAAAAACAAAAATCTGCAGAGAACTTTCAATTTAAAAAATGATGTAATTTTCCTGGCCACCCCTGTGTGATTAGTGGTCCCAGTCTGGCCACCCCTGAGAAAAATGTCTGGCTCCGCCACTGGTCACCTTCAGAAACGGCTCAGTAAATAAAAAGCATTCATCAGGACAGAGACGGGGACAGTATGACGAGAATCCATGGCATCGATCAGCCCAGCTGTGCTCTGGATAATGAGGGATTGTGGGTCATGTTTAATTAAATCTCTGTCTCCCTCCCTCCCCTCCTCCCCTGGACTCTGCAGGGATGTGAGCCCTGATTCATGTCAGTCGAGCTTGGTTCCTCTTTGTGACTCTCAATAAAAGTTGGACGCTTCCTTCCCCTTTCAACAGACATGAAGCGAAGCGGTGACGTTCAGTGATTCACCTCACACGCTGAGCACAGAGTCAAAAATAAAAGCCCACAAGTCACAGGAAGCAGAAGGAATTTCAGGAAATCTGTTCAGAACAAGTAAAAATAGATTTGAGATTTAAGAAAAGTTGGGTTTTGCAGAAGAACTGAGTCTGCTGCCTTCAACTTCTGCTGCTTTGCTGTTTTAATCTCACACATCCCTCAGACTGACATGACTAAATGCACATATGAGGGTATAATTTGTGTAAAAGATAGTTTATGTCTCACCTGCAGCAGAAAGCCCCATCAGAACCAGAATCCCAGTGTGGATTTGAGCTGCTTTCATCTTTGCTGCTGTCCGTCCTGTCAGGGTCTGGATCTCTGAGGTCCTAAGTTCTGTGTGGACCCCTCAAAGGCCGATCATCCGCATTGATTAGTGGGTGGGAACTGTCCTGGCTCCCCTGTCCTTGCTGGGTTTCAGGACGCCATCGACCCGTTGATCAGACGAGGAGGATGTGGAACCAGTTCTGAAGGTCCTGGATGCAGTTTGAGGCGGTTTTTCACAGTTTCATAGAGACCTGACTGTGTTTTCATTCTAAGCCAAATGAAACCAAACTTTATTTGTGTTTACAGACTCCACATGTGGTTCTGTGTGTCACTGTGCTCACCCACTTCTCCGCGTGCGAATGACACTTTGTCAAATGTAATTTATTCACAGCTTCAGGCAGCTTCATTAAATCAATACTGTTCATTTGATTTGATTCAACTCAACAGCTCGGAACAAAAACTAACCTGAGAATCAGACAGCAGCTAAACATAAACATATAATTATTGTTTCTGCAGTGATGGTGATAAATCAGCAGGTTTACTTCTCTTCTTCACTGCTGACTGGTTTGTTTGTTGTTTTTACAAGCTGGCGAAGTTCATCTGAATTGGTTGATTTTCTGACACAGATTTGACTTTTAACATTTCTGCGAAATGAGGAAATTGAATCACAATGAAAACAATCTTTCTGCTCATGACTAAATGAGTTTGTCTTCATTTAAACTGACTGAGATGAGCCTGTAGTTACAGSTGGTTTCCACCAGAGGGCAGACTAACTGCAGCGGTTTGAACTGAAACTCAACAAAAACACACAACAGTCTCTTTTGACTGGAGATGAATTCACCAGAGTTGGGTAGTGAGTAGTTACATTTACTTGAGTGACTTTTTGGAAAAAAAAATGTACTTTTAGGAGTACTTTTACTACGCTGTACTTTTTACATTTACTTGAGTAATTTTACTATGAAGTGTCGCTGCTTTTACTTGAGTAAAATTTCTGGATACTCTACCCGCTGTGACTAACTTGACTGAATGCAGACTGAACATGTTTTCACCAAAGATTCACCAAACAYACACACACCTGCAGTTTTTGTTGGTTTTATTTTGAAGAAAAAAAATGATTTGGAAAAATGTTTCTTTTGCCTGAATTTGTTATTATGTTATTTATATGAATTATTTTTTATTTTGATCTTTAAAAATAAACAAATGTTCCACATAGCTTTATGTTTTGGTCCATCTGATGATGTCATTCTTACATATTAAATTATGTCTCCATCAGTACTTGTGTGGCCTTTATACCAAATACTTTTTACTCCAAATTATTTTTTGAATGGCTTTAAAAAATGTTGAGTTAGTGCTACTCTTACCTGAGTACAATTGTTGGGTACTCTACCCACCTCAGGCTGTTGCTTAAATTTATTTAGAACCTGTACTACACTTTGTACAAATACAAACAGGATTAATACATTTAAAACATTAAAACTCTGATTAGTTGTAACTAATCAATCATCAGAGCATCAAACCAACTGAAAACATCTTATACAAACATCTTTCTTTATGAAAAAAATGTTGATTCAGATTGACTTTGAACACTTTTTGTATTTGTCAGTCTGTCAGCGAAATACCTCGTGATCCCCCGGACAGATCCCAATAAAGCTCTCAGAAAGATGGCCGCCACAGCCTTCCACTCAGCCGTAGTTTGGATTAAACCCTGAGTAAAAACAGAAACTTCAGAGGCCAAATGTTTATCTCACCAGTCCAAATTTGGCCCCAGGGCCTTTATTTGCRTACCTCTGTGTTTATTAACGCTGTTTCTCTTCTAATCTTCCACAGCGGAGTTGAAATCTCAGTAATGATGTTACGTTTCACAGCAGAAAAGTCGGTTGCCAGACGGAGTCACTGACTCGAACAGAAAGGTTTTTCCTTTTTTGCCTGCAGTCGTATCGAACGTGTCTGAGTGGAGATCATTCACCTGGTTTTCCTCAGGTTTCAGGTCCTCCAAGGCTCCTCCGAGCGACACTTTTAGACAACCGAGCTTCTGGCAGGAATCCAGCCCGAGGTGACCTGTGAGACGATCTGAGCCTCAGCATCGTTTCAGCACCAAGGCGCCTCCTTCAGCTCCGCAGACAGATTCACAGGAGAGGATGGAGGCAGAAAAAGACAACTATGAGCATCAAACTCAGACAAATTCAACTTTATGGGATATAAATTATAGATTTAATATCTACAGGAAACTAACTTACTGCTAACATATTGTTTTTGAGCTCACTTTCTCGCTGTAAAACCCCAGTTAAAATTAATTTCTACTGACATTATTTAGCTCACCATTCTTACATTTTGCTCATTAAATGTTAAATACTGTGTGTAAATATTTAATCCTACATTTAAATGCAAACGTTAAATCTTAACTGTTGAAGTTTCTACTCAAGTATTTCAGAATGGAACGCAGCCTTTGCTGTTGACGCTTGGCTCTTATTATGACATCATCATCCTGAGACGAAAGCAGCTGCTAACGCTTGAACGCAGCTAAYGCAGCTAACTCCTTTAACGCTTCCCTACAAGGYAGAGTGCTTCAAACTGAGAYACTATYCATGTTGTTTTCAATGAACACATTTTGAATTCAGATTTTAAAACCCATCTTCAATAGCATTAGCCAAGTTAGCAGCATTAGCGGTTGCTTTTGTCGCAGGATGATGACATCACAAGAAGAGCCAGGCACCAACAGCAAAGGCTGTGTTCCATTCTGAAATACTTAAATGTTAACATTTAAGATTTAACTTTTACATATAGATTTAGGATTTAATATTTACACATATTAAACTTTTTAATTTAACATTTAATAAAAAAATAGTTAAATGTAAGAACAGAGAGCTAAATAAGGCGGAAAATTTATAGGATTTTAAACTCAAAATGAGCTAAATAATGAAAATGTGTTAGTGGCATTTTTCAACTTTTTGTTACACTTAGCACTTCATATGAAATGACCTGCAGGAACTCAGAGTTTTTAGCTCGTTGGGATAATCCTGTCAAACTGTAATCTGTTTTCATACAGATTAATCTATGAAAATAAGAATAAATCGAGTCTCTGTCACATTACCATCCCTTGAGTTTAGGAGCMTTTTTATGTCGAAATGATCCAGAAACAAACAAAAACAAAACCAAAGAGCTCAAAGAGAAGCTGTTTTTGTGGTTACATCATAGAAATGTTTTTATGGAAAATGCTAACATTATCACTTTTTATTAGATTTCCTGTAAATGTGCAGATTTTATGGAGCCGTCAGTGGAAGTTATCAGTCTGTTTTTAAAGACTTATCGTCGTTTTGGAGCCTGAAACACAAAAAATGTGTTTTTCTGTTTTGTTCTGTGCAGTTTGAAAGTCCTGAATGCGATTCCAGAGGATCGGTTTACAGTTTTTGATGCTGAAGGTTAGTATGCAGAGTCTAACAGTGACGTGTACTCTGCATCTCTGCAGATCTAATTTCACTTGTGTTTTTAGCTTTATCCACACATTAATCATTCAGATTTTTTGTTTCAAAGCTGTCAGAGAGAAAAAATAGTTATTTTATTACAGGCACCAAAAGATCAGCCTGCCTAAAGACGGTGGATAATCATGATTCTTGTTTTTTTGTTATAAATACAAACATTGAGATGTTGAAGCCCCAAAGTCCTTGTTAGAAGATGGATTATGGTCCAAATAAAATATTAGTTTTCTCTTAATGGGGTTCCTTTTTTATTTGGAGAGGCTTGCTTCAGACAAAAAGTGTTTTATTAGTAAACTACCATCAGCAGGCAGCTGAGCTGTGCTGGACTTAAASAGCGACTCGATGGATTTCTGTTGAAAAGCAAAACCTCAGAGTGAAGCTCAGGAATCAAACTGCAGTTAAAGTGTTGGAAAAAAAGAAAGTTTGGGATTAGGGATGGGAAAAATAAGGCTGATGGCATCAGAAGTCGTCAGCGGGATTACAGAGTGTGAAGAGATGCAGACCGGTCTTCAGTAAAGCCGCAACACCTGACTCCACTTCTGTAATCAGGCAGACCTGGTCCACACAAGTCTTTAAAATCATATTTAATCCTTTTAGAAAATACTCTCAAGACAGAAAAATATGCAAACCCTAAAAGTGTTTCCAATCTATTCATAATCTCCTCTAATCTGCTGAATAAATCTACGAACCTGCTGACAGGTGGTTTTAGTTTTGCATCATTAATCTGACCAACAACCCTGGATGGACTTCATCTGAGACTGAAACTTGAGATAAATCAGCCTGAGGTTCTCAGAACCTGCAGAACCATCGGTGCAACAATAAAATGACAGCTTATTTAAAAACTGTTTATGCACCACGAGCTGTGGGGGGTAGGCTGGCCTGCCTGGGCCCGGCTGCAGGGGCAGGTCAGGGGGTGGGGCTCAGGAGGATGTTGGCTCAGAACGGTTCGTTAACACACTTTAGATAAATTAGCTCTGCTGGTTTTGCGGCTCTGTTTGTTTTGGAGCTCAGTTTGCAGACGTGAGACGTGCCTCCTGACAGGATTTAGTCCAATTAAAGAGACGTTTGTCTCGTTCAAAACAACAAGTCGTGGCTCAGATCCCCTGATAGGACTGATTTCCCTTCTTGTAACCTCGTTAGTCTGAAAAGCTGGTGGGAATACAGGAGAGAAATTAGAACGCTGCTGCTGCTGCTGCTGGTCGTCACAATGACAGAAGTAGTCTGTATCTCTATAACTTGGACTTATTTAGTGATTAATAGACTTTATCCGCAAACATACACCCGTATTTTAAATTCTCTATAGCATGGATGGGCAACTGGTGGCCCGCAAACCACATCTGGCCCACAGTTGACTTCTGTCCAGCCTGCCAATGAGGACCCTCCAAAATGTTGTTTATTCTTTTTTTCATTTATTTTCACTTAAAAAGCACTCACATCAGCTTTAAAATGCCTTTTTAACTGCACCTGCTTCAGATGTTATCATCCATGAAATAGACGTTATTAGGCATTATCAGTCCCCTAAAATGGCTTCAGACTGTCCCGCCTCCAGGGCTTGAGACCAACACGGACACAATTTTTTTTTACAATA